GAACAATATGAGTAGTTCTAGACTCGAGATGGAGCTATTTCTGAGCGCTGGTGTAGTGTGGCTTTAAGAGTCTAAATTCATCCCACTGTCCAAAGTCACAATATAGCTGTACGTTAATACGTTCCACTCACGCACACATTCACTAACTCCCATAGATCACTGTATATACATAACATGAACCTACCTGATTTTGGTCAGTACACACTTTCGTAACAGAAGATGCAGTCATTGCCACTTGCTTTTATTGTTCTATGTAAAGTCTTGTTTTGTGAAGTACAATGACGCGATCGATAGGAATTCGTATATCGATCCTAGTTACTAGACTGCCAACAGCCGGTGCTTTTGATTTCTACAATATCTTCTGGTCTTTCTGGATATTGTACTACAATGAAGTAATTGATATATCTGCCTGATTTAAGTGCTCGATATTAAGAACGTCTCCGTCACAGTTTTGTTTATTGCTGTGATTTGTTGTAACTTTAGTGTTCTGACACTGTTCATTCAAACCATGGAGCTACAACCACGAGAGAGGGGACTCCCCCGAAAGAAATGTCAGACATAATCCGTAATCGAGAATCTAGGACACCTACCCCCCTGCCAACTACCCCCTAATAACCACCCTCTAGGACTACTACCCCCTAGGACGATTACCCCCTAGGACATCCACCCTCTAGGACAACTACCCCCAGCTATACCCCCTAGAATGATAACCACCCCCCCCCCCCCACAGCTAACTACCCCTGGACATCTACCCCGGACAATACCCCCCCCGGACATCTACCCCAATTCAAGTACCCCCCGGACATCTATCTCTGGGCAACTACCCCCAGACATCTACCCCCGTCAAATACTACCGGACATTTACCCCCAGCCAACTGCCCCCCTGGACATCTACCCCCCCCCCCCCCCAATCCAACTACCTCCATCCAACTCGCCCCCGGGCAACTACCCCCAACTACCTTAATTTGCTTGGGGTAGATGGGTTTCAGTTTTGAACAAATTCGACAAAATATCACTTCAAATTCATTACAATTTTGTGGGTAAAGTCATTACTACATTTGTGGGTGATTCAAAATTATTACATTTGTGGGTAAAGTGGTTATTACATTTGTGGATGAAATTATTACATTTGTGGGTAAAGTGTTATTACATTTGTGAGCGTTATTACATTTGTGGGTGTAACAGCCCCCAAAAAGGAAGCGGGTGGGGATGCTAAACATGTATATTTTTTTACATGGCCTAATAACTGTAAAGCGCTTTGAGAGGGCCTTCGGTCCTGAAAAGCGCTATATATAGGCCTAAGAACTATTATGGTTCCGTGACACATGCTCCGCCGACGATTGCTCCGCCGACAAATGCTCCGCAAAAAGTGACAATTGCTCCGCGACATTTGCACCGCGACATTTGCTCCGACATCAAATGCTCCGCCGACAGTTGCTCCGCCGACAATTGCTCCGCCGACAATTGCTCCGCCGACATTTGCTCCGCCGACAATTGCTCCGCCGACATTTGCTCCGCCCCCAAAGTACCCCGTTGAAGACAAATGCTCCCTTTTGCAGGGAAAAAGGGAGAGGAAGAAAGGAAAAGAAAAGAAAAGGACAAGAAAACATGGAAAAGATAAGGTCAAGAAAAGAGAAAAGAAAAGGCTTAAGACAAGGGAAAAGGGACACGAAATAGAATATAAGAAGATTACGGTAAATCTTGCCGGCGCGGCGTCGGGACACGTCGGGGAAAAACTAGAAATAAAAATAGAGTATGAAATATACTACATGCTCGTGAAATAATCATTAGTGATTAAGGCAGATGGTTTTCAGTTATTATATGAAAAGGATGAAAATTCGCTTGCTCGCTACGCTTTATAATTATGTTCGTAATACATTTTGTACATCAGTGATTAACAAGCGATGCCGGTCACGCAGATGCTTTTTAATATTAAATGGCAAGCCAAATAATTTCGACCATTCGTTAACCTCGCTCGCCAACGATGAATAAACAATAGATCCTGGAATAATACTTGCCTATTTGATTCAGATTAAGGGGCGTAATGTAGAAAAATTCTATTCAAGATTATAACCTATGATTTTTACCTTCCTTGTTCGCCAAATTAACAAATAATAAAAAAAAAAAAAAAAAAAAAAACATCCCCTTAAAGATACTATTCCCCTTTTGCAGCCAACATCAAATTCTGTAGAAATTTGCAGGAATTATAATATGTCATGTATGTGAAAGTTAAACGTTAGGTGTCCTAATATCCAATTATGAAGGAAATCTGTTTATTTGCTAGACTTCGATCACTGTCAGACACTATTCAGTGACAAACTGGCCTTTTTTCCTTCTTTGGTAATAACATACATAAAATGAGCTGTAAAGGGTACATGAGCATTATTTTTCTACATCAATAACCCACTTCTTGTAAGGGCCAAAATTAACTGATTGAAACTTTACGCAGTATAAAACATACGACCATTCGGTACAATGGTCTGAAAACCAGACTATTATTTACTGGCTCTATAGATCTAGCTCTTAAGTCGATTCGACAACTAATAGTCGTTATTTTCCCACTTAAAGACATTTTTAAGCCCCCCCTTTTTTTTTTAGGGAAGTTCTAAATTAGTATTTACTTTCAAATGCCGTTGGAGTTTAACCTTTTAATTTTTGGGGGGCCTGCAAATGGGACATAGTACCTTTAAATGTATTTGTGCCCTCCCTTTCAAGAGACAAGAAGACACAGTTACTTACTATGTAAACAAAATATGCCTATAATTATTATCAAAAGAGAAGTGCAAAAGAACTCGCTCACATGCTACGCTTACTCGCGATTATAATTTTAACATATTCATTTGACGAATGTGCAGCTCCTAAACGTCAAACGAAGAATGGCGGAAGGCAGGTAGATGCTATTCAATATTAATGATGAGTCTACATTTTAGCTCTCTCTCTCTCGCTTTATACCATCACTTACCAAAAGGGAATAAGTATAACCTTAAATGATATTGTGCCCAAGGAAAAAAAAAAAAAATCACTACTTGTTGAAAGAAGGTCTACTAAAGGTTGAACAAAGTTTATCTGTTACTTAAAAGTTTTTGCACCTGCTCCCCCCCCCCCCCCCCCCCCCTCAGAAAAAGGATTGCGTCTTTCGCAAAGGTTTATCACTTTTTTTCCCATCGGTGTCATCTGAGCGGGGAATTAAAACGCATCCCCCTTCTCAGAATGCTGGCTACGGCCCTGAATAACAGCAACAAAACAAATCACACAAAACAAAAAAAAACCCATGAAAGAAATATTGACAGGCGGAGCAAATGTCCGCGGAGCAAATGTCGGCGGAGCAATTGTCGGCGGAGCAATTGTCGGCGGAGCAAATGTCGGCCGGCGGAGCAAATGTCGGCGGAAATTGTCGGCGGAGCAACTGTCGGCGGAGCATTTGACTTCGGAGCAAATGTCGCGGAGCAATTATTGTCGCTATTGAGGAGCATTTGTCACCGGAGTAATCGTCGCCGGAGCATGTGTCGGGTTACCACTATTATACAGTGCGTCCCAGAAAAAAACGAAACCGAGAAGTATCGATGTTCTATCATAACTTAATCACAACTATTTTTAATGAATGATACATATTTGGAAAGCTTAGAGTCTCCTCTTTTATGTGCATGCTACTCAGATGATGCATATTTCACGCATGAGTGATTAAAAGTAATTTGAAGGAAGGAAACCAAAAAGACATTTGGCGGGCGGTATCTGAATTTCGAAGAAAAATTCACATTTCTAGAAAGTTGAGTTCCTGCCCTTTCATATGACACCTCAATCAGGAAAAATGAGCGAGGAATAACAAAGTTCTGTTTGTTTAAAGTAGTGCTTGCATTTCTATAATTGTATTCACTGGCTGACTGCCGTATCATAATTAACAAAAGACTTAACTCCGTTTCGTTGACAATCAGCCGTAGACGAGAGTCTTCATGCATGGCTGATTGTCAACGAAACGGAGTTAAGTCTTTTGTCAAATCTGCTTTTTGCTACGGCAGGCACCCAGTGAAAACGAATTCGTTTGTTAAAATTATGAAAATGTAAGGGCTACTTTAAACAAACAGAACTTTGTCATTCCTCGCTCATTTTTCCTGATTGAGGTGTCATATGAAAGAGACTCAACTTTCTAGAAATGTGAATTTTTCTTCGAAATTCAGATACCGCCCGCCAAATGTCTTTTTGGTTTCCTTCCTTCAAATTGCTTTTAATCACTCATGCATGAAATATGCATCATCTGAGTATCTCTTTGCTAGACCAAACGATGTTCCACCTGCATCGATCGTGATGCATTATGATGCATACTCGTTTATAACTAAGAGGTATAATTTGGACCATGTCAATTTCGCTTTGATATTTTAAGTAAACACAATATCAGCTAGCGATATATACGATAACGATTTTTGTCCGTATTTCAGTATTCATTTTTATCATTCTATCGTTGTTATATAAGTCCTTGATTGTGTTACAGGCGCGTACGCAGGATTTTTTAAGGGGGGGGGGGGGGCTGGGGGTTAACATTTTTAAATCGGGCCGAAAATTTCGCAACGACCCAGCCATCTGCTGAATAAGCGGCGGGGGTGGGGGGGGGGGGGGGGGGGGGTAAGAGGACACTTTTTTCTTTTTGGTCCCAAAAAATTGCAACGACTCAGCCAGCCGCTGAATGAGCGGGGGGGGGGGGGGGGTAAGTTTTTTGGTCTCGAAATTTGAAAATTTGACATTTTGTTCCGTTGGGGGGGGGGGATATATATAAGGTCAACCTTTTTAGGTCAGCCATTGGTATAAAAAAAAAATGCCAAAGGGGGGGGGGGTTTCCTCAAAAATACACACATAAAAAATACCACCCCCCCCCCCCCCCCCCCCCCGTGTACGCGCCTGTTGTGTTATTGTTTTTATGATGATTTTCGGAAATAAAACAAACAAACAGTAGAACATGCAGGTGCAGTGCCGTATAAACCACCACGACCACGCCCTATTTCTCGCTACCAGTACCAGTACCACTGCACTGCACTGGTTTTGTCTGCACATTTGCACTTCCTACTTCTAGCTCAAAATCACTCACAGGACTTGTATTGTTCTCATTGATCTCTAAGAAATCAGTAATAATTTATTAATCTATTTTAAACAGTAATTTCTGCACGAGGTTGTAGACCATCCTGGTCCTGGATGATGTTCATCGACATTGAATGATCGACGAGGCGAGGTGAGAAATATTATTTTTCTGACTTGTCGAATGGTTTTGTCTGCACATTTGCACTTCCTACTTCTAGCTCAAAATCACTCACAGGACTTATCACTTTGATTACATGTATGTACGGATATAAGCCCAACTGTAAGCTAAATAAACGCGATGCCGACACTAAGTTGTGTCGCGTTGTCAGTGTGACATGTATATGACACATAGCTGCAATACTATCCTAGCTGTGATATTAAAAACTGTTCTATTGATTCTCAACATTTCAAAAACTGAATTCTCTAAAAAGTGGTACTTAAGTGACAATTGATGACACCTAGCAGTAAATACAATCTTTTCAACTTAGATGTCTAGGCCTAGACATCTATACCAATGTTAGATTTTTATGCCTCCGCCACCGAAGGTGGTGCCGGAGGCATCATGTTTTCGGGTTGTCCGTCCGTACGTCCGTCCCGTTTGACCGTTATCACAATATCTCAAGAAACATTTAAGATTTAAACTTAAGACTCGGGAATAGTATTTATCACCATAGGAAGACGATCTGATTAGATTTTGGAGTAGGTAGGTCAAAGGTCACAGGTCACAGAGGTCAACTTATGAAATTCCTTGTATTGAGTTTGTTAGCGCGATATCTCAAGAACCATTTGAGATTTAAACTTCAAACTTAAGGATAGTATGTATCACCAGGAAGACGATCTGATTAGATTTTGGAGCACGTATGTCAAAGGTCAAGGGTCACAGAGGTCAACTTATGAAATTCCATACATTGAGATTGTTATCATGATATCTCAAGAACCACTGGAGATTTAAACTTCAAACTTAGTGATAGTGTGTATCCCTATAGGCAAACAATCTGATTACATTTTGGAGCACGTAGGTCAAAGGTCAAGGGTCATAGAGGTCAACTTATGAAATTCCATACATTGAGATTGTTATCATGATATCTCAAGAACCACTGGAGATGTAAAAACTTCAAACTTAAGGATAGTATGTATCACCATAGGAAGACGATCTGATTAGATTTTGGAGCACGTAGGTCAAAGGTCAAGGGTCACAGAGGTCAACTTATGAAATTCCATACATTGAGATTGTTATCATAATATCTCAAGAACCACTGGAGATTTAAACTTCAAACTTAATGATAGTGTATATCACTATAGGAAGACAATCTGATTAGATTTTGGAGCACGTAGGTCAAAGGTCAAGGGTCACAGAGGTCAACTTATGAAATTCCATACATTGAGATCGTTATCGCGATTTCTCAAGAACCACTGGAGAATTTTCACTTCAAACTTAATGATAGTATGTATCACCATATCATAATATCTCAAGAACCACTGGAGATTTAAACTTCAAACTTAATGATAGTGTGTATCACCATAGGAAGACAATCTGATTAGATTTTGGAGCACGTAGGTCAAAGGTCAAGGGTCACAGAGGTCAACTTATGAAATTCCATACATTGAGATTGTTATCATGATATCTCAAGAACCACTGGAGATTTAAACTCCAAACTTGTTTAAATTGCTCTATGGCGGAGGCATCATTTTCGACTGCGCGCAGTCAAAATTCCATCTAGTTTTTTTTTAAATTCAAATCGTGAGTCTAGGGTAGGCCTACTCGAACTTACCGATCAGCCACTTCGTATTCATTGTGTGCATTAGTGTGCAATCTCTGCCTCTCATCAAATATACAGTGCTATATATAGGTCAATATGCATTAGCCTTAAAGCCAAGGTAATGCAAATTTTTTGGAAATTTTGAAAATTGGAAAATGTTTATATATTTGGATGCCCCTGGCCCTGTGGATTTATTATAAGCACTAGAAAATTTACCCTTTAAACACTTCTGCTTTCGAAAAATTGAATAATCAAACATTTACTGGGGCTCCCAGTAGATTTAAAATATTTCAAATAGTGCCTAGATCTAAGACTATTTCATGATAGCTGCGACCATGAAAATCTCAGAATATGCAGTTGATATCTAATTTCCAAACAGGAATAACAAGTAGGTCGAAAAAAATTACTTTGAAGCTAAAGAAATATCAGCCTTGAGAGGGCGCTATACAACATAAAGAGTTTATTATTTACAATTTCATCACCTTAGTCTCAATTTCAACCGCGGCAACGATCATTGAATATTGTAAAATCGCATTTGCTTCTAATATGATCATTTGAACCAAATTCATGACTCCATATAGATCTACCAAAACTTGTATTACCTTTATTGGGCTTGGTGATATTATTTTTATGGTATTGATAATTGATATCACCGAGCCTGAACTAGCTCCCATGGACGTGAGCGGAGACGCATGTAAACAAACCCTAAAATGTGTCCGAAATCACACCTTCCCGCACCCGACAAAAATTGGACAGTGGCCTTAATGAATTTTATGCCACTTCTACTCCCAACTGCGGAGGTAAAAATAATGAAATATTAGCAAATATCTTACCAGAGCGAAACAGCTTAGCTCTGGAGACCCTTTCCTTGGAGACCCCCCCTAAGTCCGGCACACTGCAATGTACCCTCCTATGTCAGGTCATGCAGACACCCCCCCCCCCCCCCCCCACCCAATCATCTCAGATAAGCGGTCATTACTGGTTGGCTCTTACACCCAGAGAATACCCCAAAGAACTTAATTGGCCTGCTAAAACTGGATTTGACTTCTGGTGTGTTTTATTCTTTAGAAGTCGTTATAGTAATTTGATCTGTATAAAATAAATAGCAAGATTACGTACAGACATTTAGCACATTAAATACATACTTGTGTATTGAACTAAAATTTCTGTGCTCTAGTTTTCATTTATACCTTGTAAGAATAAAGTAATTCTGCAAATTATTTCTATGGTCACTTATCTGCATAATATATCATCACCACTGAATAATTACTTTAGTGCCTGATATTGAGACTTAGTTAGAAATAAACCTTCCATTAATCTTAACTGACATAACCTGTGCCTGCCCTACATAATGTGTCCTTTCACATATTAATGTATTTGTAATCAAACTCTGTAACTGAGTACTTTATCCTCGTAAAGATACCCCGGCCCACCCCCCCCCCACACCGTGTATTGAGGGGTACCATGCGTGTTTAATACCAAAATGTCCGGTAAAGGGGTACTTTTCCCGCACCAAATTCTGGCTCGTAGTACACAAAAATCTGGCCCGTTTTGACTTTTCACACCGGACTTAGGGGGTGTTTTCAAAAGGAGGGAACATGCATATGCGTACCCTAAATAACACTGAGTAGGGAGGCCGGGAAAGATGCTATATTTTTCTCAGCAATTCTAACCTTGTTAAAATAATCGCTTTCTTCTTTCCTAAGCACCAGTTAACCACCCAAGTATTATTTTATAACCCCCTTTTTTAATTTCTCAGGAGTCCAAAGAGATGAGAGAAAAAAGAAAAAAAACCCCCTTTTTAAAGAAATTTTTGGGTGAAAAGTCAAATACACCCCTTTTTTTTACAATTCTCGGGCCGGACTTTGTCGCATGAAAAGTACCCCTTTACCGGGCATTTTGGTAACACGCATGGTATCCCTCCCTTCACGGAGTGGGGGGGGGGGGGGGGGGGGGTCATGGGTCATGGGGCACATCTTCAGAGCAACCTGGAGGGATGGACACTACTATGTCTAGCTGCATTTGATATGCTGAAGGACATTGTTGAATTCTTCTTGTCAATGAGTAAAGATGATATTTCTTTGGAGCATTTAAGATCATAGCTTGTGAAATATTTGGAGTGTCACAGGCTAATTTTGATGATCGTGCCCTCAGAGATCACATTTTCTGCAGAGCCATAAAGTTTCAAGATGCAGGAGTTACCATATGGCAAGTGGAAACCTCAGAACTTGCTGCTTGTTTCTCAAAAATGTCTCTAAAAGAAGTCTACACGCTGGAGGAAATCAGGTCAATAGAATCGTCTGTGACAGACTATTTCCTCCAAGTTTCAAGCAGGGTATCTCTACCGATCCCTTACATGCTCAATATAAAACAAATGTAGGGCTACTTGTTAGGAAAGTCAGGGCGATCCTAATTTTTATTAAGTTAATTACTGCTTTTTGAATTAATAATAAATTATAAACTGAAGGGAGTGAAGGCCCACTTTGATGCTGACTGAATTGACAAAACAAATTTCCCTAATTTATAGTCACCAGGAAGAGGAATTTCCCAAAAGACCAGTGCATCTCAGAATTTCTTTGTGCGGCAAACACAACGGGCTCCGCTTCCCACATTATCCAAACATGTGGGTTCTGTTTCTTAAAACTGGTTATCAATAACATTACAATAAAGTCACAACTGTTAAAAGCTACTGAATCTACATGGCATTTGATTGGCTGAGATCAAGTTTGTCATTCAAATTTAGAATTTGTTATTGGTAACAAGTTTTATGGAACAGGACTCTGGACTAGGCCTGTTTTGAAAGCCCCTTTTTGGTAGTCTACGCTGTGATTTTTTGACGATTAATCGACTAGTCGGTAATATAGGTGCAGCGTAATATAGCTACGGTGGGCGGCGCTGGGCGAGCCCACCCAGCACGGGGGATTTCTGCCCACCACTCCTGATGAAAAACACTTCCACCCAGCACTTATTTCGCATAAAACCTACTTTCAATGTAACTATTTGTAAAGAAAAGAAGTATTTACATTCATATTTCAGTCTTTAATCTTGTTTTATTTGCAATTGTAATAGATTCCTGTTTTCAATTCTACAATAAATGATTATTTTTACTGATTTGCCGAGTGTCGTTTGTTTAAATATGTTACGATTCACGAAAACTTCGACAATGAATTTACTGTACGTACCGATGTATACCGGTACATATTAAATTCAATATGGCCGCCCAGGTTTGTTTGATTACTGTTCTTATAAATGTTTAGATCGTAATTTTCCAGAAGAAATAAATTAAAGTACTATAATATATATTTATTTCACTATTTATATTGTAAAATTTGTCCGATATTATCGCAATTAAAGTATTCATTTTTTTATTGATTGGGTTTGAGCCGAACTTGTTTCGATCAGCGCCTATAGTATGCACGTGTATTCATGTTTATAGCTCATGATCGCGATGTTGCAGAGGTCAGAATTTGGGATTTAAAGATCAAGGGCATGTGTATCATCAAGCACAGTCCGGTACTCATGAAACTCATCAAGCCCACTAGTTTTTTGCTTCTAAGTTAAGGTTAGGTAGGAATTTGATTTACTTAAACTTCCTTGACAATGTCTGAGAAAGTAGAATTATTGTGACAGATTTCTATTTCACATCCATTTAGACTCTTTTTAGACGATGTTCTTGGGTTCCCAATGAGTCATCGAGTATTCGGTTTTTAAATATCAAGTTCATTATTTGACTACTGGCTTTACCAGGCGGTATATGATTAAACGTTTACTCGAAACGGGCCTACTTTGGACTAGAAACAAAGACGTTTTTTCTTCATTTCCATGCACTGTATTATTATTAAGTATAGGCTACTCTCGTTTACATTTTTATCTCTAGCTCTAGCAAGAAGCAAGTAGCTGACAGCCCTTGGAGGTGCAGAGATATCAGGACCATGGCATCTGGATGTAGCAGCGGGGAAACCTTATCAGAACCAGCAGCAGGTGACTTAGCCAATGCGATTTCTCAGGGTACAGTGACTGAAGAGATGCTAGAGAGATGTGCTCAAGAGGGTCGTATCGATGTCCGAAACAAGGAAGGACAAACACCGTTGATGCTCGCATGTTTGAAAGGTCTGGAGGATGTTGTCAAGTTCCTATTAGCAAATGGTGCCAACCCCAATTCCAAGAGCTCAAAGGATGGTAACACTCCTTTACATTATGCATGTATGTTATTGTTTGAAGAGTCTGAAGACACACTATCTGTTAAGCCATCCGCTAAAAAAAGACTCCTTGAACAACAAAAATTGAGAAACCCCAAGCTTTCTATCGTTAAGCTTCTTCTGAAGTATAGAGCATCTGTTCAGAACAACATAGATGGATGGAGTCCAGTATATGTTGCTGCATTTTACTTGCTGAATGACTGTGTTGAATTCTTGTTGATGGGTGATGATGATATTCCTTTGGAGGACGAGATCAAAGCTTATGCATTACTTGGAGTTTTACAGGCTAATCTGGGTCAACTTCCCGAGATCCACGATGCTTTTTACTCTTTCTGCAGAGCCATAAACTTACAAGAAGGTGCAGGAGTTAGTGAAGGGAAAGTTCAAACCTCAGAACTTGCTGCTTGCTTCTCGGAAATCTCTCTAAAAGAATTCCACAAGCTGGAGAAATCATCTGAAAGTAAGGAACTATTTCCTCGAATGATTTCAAGTCTCAAGTATAGTTATTTCTTCCCATCCCTTGCATACTTTGCATTTCTTGTAATGTTCAATGAGGAGAAGGTAAAAAGATGCTTCCAAGTATTCTCTCATGTTCTTGCTTCTGAAAGATGTGGAAGAGCTCTGCTAACAACAGTAGTAAGGCAGTTAGATTATGCGCATGATGACTGTCACCATAAATGGGTTGCAAGGCACATGTTGTCTACTCATGTTACAATATTTAAGAATGTACACAGTGCTTGTCTGCTGGGTGTGAGTGATTGCCTAAGATATTGTTTTGGTACCCAACTTTATGACGAAATCGGGACTTCTGTTGACATTTTGAAGTCCTCCTTGCGAGACAAAGAGACCTTAATGAGCATCATTCAAAGTAGAATACTGAGGGAAAGGCCTGACGAGTATAACAAGCTGCCTTCCCTAACAGATCAAATCATGTTCACTCTGATGAGTGATTGTCATGATATCTTCGACTGCAAAGGTTCTGTTAGCAAGCAATGGTGCCTTGTGACATTAAGGTATTTGTTGCTCAGGCTTCTGAAATCTGACAATGGTTCTTACCATAATTATAGTGCGAACGCAGGCAGTACACTACTGCACATGTTGGCATCATGTATATCTTTTCCACTAACTTATCATGGATCTGTTAGAGAAATTATGAGATATATCCAGGATCTTGCTCAGGCCTTCATACGTCATGGGTGTTCTCTGGATGCAGTGAATAAAGAAGGTGAAACTGCCAGAGACATTTTGCACAATTTGGAGTTGAACTTGAAGGAGCCACATTTTGAACAGGTTGAGTCATTTTTTAGTCCACCAACCACAGTATTGCGTCTGGAGGAAGCAGCTGTCAGAGTAGTCCTCCGACACAAGATCAACTACGTAGACGTCCTTCCTCTGAGGCTGCGTAAGCTGGTAGATGTACATGTAGTTACAGATTTAGACTTCCCTGTAAGGCTTCTTGAGATGATAGATGGAATGTCACCTGAAGATATTCATCGAACTGAGATGAAAAGTCTATATCCAGATTTAGACTCAGGGTTTAATGTATTAGGAGAATTATACAATTTCAGTAGTGAAGAAAATAGCGAAAGTGGTGACAGGAGCTCTTAAAGGTAAAACAAGTTTTGGTATGGAGTCATGAATTTGGTTCAAATGAACATATTGGGAGCATATGTGATCCTACAATATTCAATGATCGTTGTCGCGGTTGAAATCGAGTCTAAAGTGATGAAGTTATAAATAATACACTCTTTCTGTTGTATAGCTACCTCTCGAGGTCAAGATATTGATTTAGCCATAAAACAATGTTTCTTGACTAAAATCGACCGATTGGCTATTTCCGTTTGGAAAATATATATCACAACTGCATATTCTGAGATTTTCATGGTCACAGCTATCATTGTATGGCCGTATAGGCGCTATTTGAAATTTACCCCAATTTAGCGGGAGCACGGGTAAATATCAATATTCAATTTATCTCAAAAGCAGATGTGTTTTATGTGCTATTTTTTTAGTGCTTATAATGCATCCACAGGGGCATCCAAATATATCAAAATTGTAAGGAATCACTATCCAGCCAATTTTCAAAATTTACCAAAACTTTGTATTACCTTTAAGAATGGTTCTGAAGGCAGTGAATGACAGTACCAAGAGATAGGCGAGTTTTGGTAAAAGCAAACATTTATTTGTCAGTTTGCTATCTGATGTCCACAGAAAAAGGAATGGTTTTGAGATGCCTTCATGTTCAAATTATGACTAAAAATAATGTAAAAGTTTAGACCAAACTTTCTTGCCAATTGTTTATAGTTCTATACAGTATGTCCACTTCTGTGTGCAGTGCTGCTATTCCTGTACATGATATTTATATATTTACTAAATCTCTGATTGTGTTGCTGCAGACTTCAAATACTCAAAATAAACAATTATTTCAAAGCAATCCACTAGACCAACATCGACAACAGGTTCACTAGAGACAACCCACAAAACTAAACATAGAAGGGAAGATAGAAAAATGTTGGTCTCATGGGGCATCTGTTTAGTAAATTCTCTGAAAAAAGTGGGTATGTATTTATTTATTTGTTTTTATTATTATTTTATTTTCCTTTTTGTTTTCCTCTCCTTTTTTTTTTTTTTTTTTTTTGGGGGGGGGGGGGGGGGGGCTGTCGATCTAGTGAATTCACCCTCTAAGCATTTGTCAGATCCTAGGTGAGACTGACCTACCTTGTTGTTCTCATGGGCTGTATAGCAATTATGTATATTACACATGCACAATCAACCCTTTTCAATTGTTTCTTTAACATTACAATCGCATGACTAGAATTGAAGTTCATCTTGAATGCAAAATGACTCATCTGACCAGGGGGGTGTTTCATAAAGCTGTTCGTAAAGTTACACATGACTTTACGAACGACTTGTAAAGTCTTGTATATGAAAAGCCAAATGGGATGCTCAATCATTATTGATTATTATTTATTATGTTGAACTGTGCAGATGTAGATTAACATTCTTATTACAACAAACATTTTCAATGCAGAGTATATTTTTGCCATAATTTAATTAAGGTTATTGGAAATATTAGAAAAAAAATTGGGCATCCTATCTGGCACTTCATATACATGTACAAGTCGTTCGTAAAGTCATGCGTAACTTTACGAACAGCTTTATGAAACACCCCCCTGGGTGAAGGACTACTGAGCAGTGTGTTTCGGTGCATCCTCATGAACCAATTCTTTATTCCATATCACTGCTTGTTTTTCTTCTGTATATATTCTTGGCTATTTTTTTTCTCTCTGCCTCAGATTTGCAATGTTCATTTTTTTAACGTCTTAAGTGCATACAAGTTCAAATCGTGTAATCAAATTCTCACTGCATAAATGTTACAGTAATATTTTAATTCTGATTTCTGTAAGTAATCATCAACATCTGATCTCATTTTCTCTTGGCTATTTGAAGTAGAAGAGAGATCAAATATGAAATATGAAAATTGCAGTGTTTGTACATTGTAGTAGTCAGGGTTTATTTGATATAATTACCTTAATTTCTTGTCTGTATACAGTATATTGAAAATAATTGTGACTAAAAGCAAAGTGATTTATTACTCTGTTTAATGTACTATGTCCCCTTTTGCAGCCAACCTCAAATTCTGTAGAACTTTGCAGGAATTATGAATATGTCATGTATGTCCTATCTGTGAAATTTAAATGTTAGCAGTGTCCTCATATTCAAATTATGCAAGGAAACCCGTTTACTTGCTAGACTTCACTGTCAGACACTATTGAGTGACTGACTGGCTTTTTTTCTTCCTTGGTAATAACATACATGAAAAGAGTTGTAAAGGGTACATGAGCATTTGTCTACATCAATAACCCACTTCTTGTGATGGCCAAGATTAAACTGATTGAATCTTTGCGCAGCATAAAACATATGACCATTCGGTACAATTGTCTGAAAATCAAGACTATTACTTTTGGGCTCGATAGCCCTAAAGTCGATTTGACAACTAATAGTCGTTATTTTCCCACTTGAAGATATTTTCAAGCCCCACCTTTTTTAGGGAAGTTCTAAAATAGTATTATCTTTCAAATGCAGTTGGAATTTAACTTTTTCATTTTTTTTGCCTGCAAATGGGACATAGTACCTTTAATGTATAAGCCTATTTTGTGTCTGCTTGATATAATATGATGCCATCATTGCCATGTACAAACCTGTACTAGCATGTACTTTTCTTCTTTTTCTTCTTTTTCTTTATCTTGTTATTCTTCTTGTACTTGTTATCATTTCTATCATTATTATTTTAGTGTTGTTATTATTATCATCATTATTATCTATAATAAGTTTTTTCTTATCTGTGTAAATAATACGATTTTAACTTATTAATTATGTATGTCTGGGACCGCACTGAAAATAAATGTTCTTCTTTGGCAATATACCTGGATACATAAAATGAGCTCTAAAGGGTACATGAGCTCTAAAGGGTACATGAGCATTCGTCTACATCAATAACCGACTTCTTGTAATGGCCAAAATTAAACCGATTGAATCTTTGCGCAGCACAAAACGTATGACCATATGATACAAGGGTCTGAAATCAGACATTCGGCACTTATTAGCACATAGCACTAAAGTCGATTCTACAATTAATAGTCGTTATTTTCCCACTTAAAGATATGTTCAAGCCCCCCTTTTTAGGGAAGTTATAAATTTCACAGTTCTAAACCATGTCAAATGTATTATATTATTGAATATTGAATTGTATACTGATTTCTTGTCAAAATTACTGATGTGTTGGAAATGAAAAAATAAACTGAAACTGAAATGTATATTATCTTTCAAATGCTGTTGAAATTTAACCTTATCATTTTTTTTGGCCTTCAAATGGGACATAGTACCTTTAATGTATAAGCCTGCTTTTTGTCTGCTTGATATAATATATGTTGCCATCATTGCCATATTCTAACAGATTTAACTGAGTCATGAAATATTTTTTCGTTTATAATTTGCCTGGATGGTTTTGTTATATAAGTATTCTTTTATCTCCCTATATGTTTCAGGCCCAATAAAAGATGTGATGTTTTGGGGTTGAAATAAGAAGAAAAAAAAGGATACTTTTATATTTCAGACTATCTAATTTATGATTTTGCCAGTTTGTACATCTCGTAGCTCCCCTAAATTTAAAGTGCCACTTTGTATTTAACTGAAAAACCATCTCTGTGAATATACATTTGTTGCGTGCAGTTCCTATTTATTTACACATAAAATCCGCCAGGCCTATTTTGTGGTGGTTTACCATTTCATATTGAAACAAGCCTTAAGAGTTCAATATATCTCTGGAATTAAATGTTGACAACTCAATATACATGTATCAAATTTCATGTGATACATATTCATTGTCAGTCCATGTGTGCAGTCAATATTTTAAATAGATTATTTTGAAGTTGCTGTATAATAATCAATATTACATTATTATTACAATATTACATAAATAAATTGTGAACCATGCATTATTAATTAGCCTATAATTAGTTATTGATATTTTATTGTGTAGAAGTTAATTATGTACATCAATTACAGTGTAATTGTGTTGATTGTGGTCCAATTATAGGCCTAGATATAATTATGGCAAAGACAATGCAACGCATGCATTTGTGCAATATCACATTGGGCATGTAGCTACTTGTTTGTGTATTTGTAATTAGGTAAATGATACTTTATTAAACCTATTATAGTAAGACAATGTAATGAAACAATTCATTTTGAAAGTGTTTAGTGATGTATGTGTTTTGTCATAGACAGTTTTGAGAGAGAGAGAAAGAGAGAGAGAGAGAGAGAGAGAGAGAGGGGGGGGGGGCTAGTGGTAAGAGGACACTTTTTTTTTTTTTTGGTCTCGAAATTTGAAAATTTGACATTTGGCTCCGTTGGGGGGGGGGGGGGGTAAGGTCATGGGATTTTTTTTTTTTTAATAATTATTAAAAAAAAAAAAAAATCCAAAGGGGGAGGTTTTAGGGGGGGGGGGTTTACACAAAAAAAAAATACCACAGGGGGAGGGGGGGGGGGGGTTTAACCCCTCCAAACTCCAGATTCAGTCCCGGGTTCGAAAGCCAAACATTTGGGCCACGAGGAAGCTCATATAACAAAGAATGAAATGAATGTGCTTAAAGGTAAAGACCAGTTATGGTCATGCGATTGCATTGTGAAAGAAACGTTGTGGAATCATCAAAATGATAAGAAATTTGGCCCATTGTTCGTAAAGTTACAAGCACTATACACAGAAAGATGTATATGGGACTACCCTATATCTCTCACAGACAATGAGAGAAACAAATTTACCAAATATATGAATTAGTAGGCGGTTTCCCGGCAAAGTTTTTATCATCATGTATTAGTCAAAACATATTCTTTCACATGATTGGTAATGAGAGCTTCCATTTCATTTTTTTGTAATTGGGGCGTTTCCAATACTGGTCTTTACCTTTAAACCTATTATAGTAAGACAATGTAATGAAACAATTCATTTTGAAAGTGTTTAGTGATGTATGTGTTTTGTCATAGACAGTTTGAGAGAGAGAGAGAGAGAGAGAGAGAGAGAGAGAGGGGGGGGGGGGTTGTGGGTGGGATCAGGCGCGTAAGCAGGATTTTTTCAAGGCAGAAAATTCCGCAACGACTCAGCCAGCCGCTGGGGGGGGGGGGGGGGGGGGGGGCTGGTGGTAAGAGGACACTTTTTTTCTTCTTTTTTTTTGGTCTAGAAATTTGAAAATTTGACATTTGGCTCCGTTGGGGGGGGGGGGGTAAGGTCATGGGATTTTTTTTTTTTTTTTTTTTTTTTTTTTAATAATTAAAAGAAAGAAAAAAATCCAAAGGGGGAGGTTTTAGGGGGGGGGGGGGTTTACACACAAAAAAATACCAAAGGGGGAGGGGGGGGGGTTAACCCCTCCAAACTCCAGATTGAGTCCCGGGTTCGAAAGCCAAACATTTGGGCCACGAGGAAGCTCATATAACAAAGAATGAAATGAATGTGCTTAAGAATAACTTATAGCCTACTTGGACAATAGACAGTGACATGATTTTGATGTCATGACTGGGTCAAGGGGGTGGGACAGGCGCGGATCCAGGATTTCTTAGGGGGGCCCAAATTTGAAATTATGCGAGCCAAATATTGGTACTCGATGGTGACACCGGCAGTGGCAAAAAGTTTTTTTTTTTTTTTTTTTTTTTGGGGGGGGGGGGGGGTTGGGGTGGGGTAGACAAAACAAATCGTCATCACACCACCCTTACATGCCGGCCCCGCTGAACGTTTCTCAGCGGGGGTCAAGGGTGGAGCCCCCAGAAGCTCAGAGGGTATAGGCATTTAATTACTATGATGAGCATATTTTGATACCTTATTTTTGACACTGGCCTGTTTCGAATTTACGTGGGGTCTAGGGGGCGTAACCCCCGGAAGCTCAGAGGTTTGGGGCAATAAATTACGGTCAGATGAGCATATTTTGATAACTTATTTGTGACACTGGCAGGTCACGAATTGGCGTGGGGTCCAGGGGGCGAAGCCCCGGAAGCTCAGGGGTTTGGGGCAAGAACAGTCAGATGAGCATATTTTGATAACTTAATTGTGACAATGGCAGGA